AGAGGAAATAGCATGCGTAAATCTTTCCAATATTGTCTAAATTGTAGTTCCATCGCATATAATATATATTACTAAAATTAATATCAGATTTATATTCATTGAAAGTTAATGCAATAAGATAAAGTTGTTCAAGAATTTTAGGACTAATAGGGTAGTACCCACCCGACATTATACAAAATAATAATAATAATAAATTAATTTTAGAAAGTTTCCAATCATCACCTGACTCGTCTGTACTGCTAGAATTAATGAATTCAATAATTAGTGGTTCAAATCATTCACAAGATTTTAGTAGAACAATGCTATTTTTACAGAAAAAAATTATGTAAAAATAACAGAACACACACATGGAGGTGGACTTCATTTTTTATAATAATATTTTATTCACATGGGGTCCACCCCGATGTGAGTAATTTGACATTTTTACAGATGAAATAGTTCTGTACAAGTGGTTTAATTGATTTTAGTAATATGTAAATTGAATTCCACGTATGACCTATGTCGATTCACGAGCCGTTCGGCTGATGTAAATTTTTTTAGGCTCTACTCGCGCTCAAACTCATCCATAGCCGCACATGAGCTGAGCATAGGCGAGTCCAATTACCACCTCTAAGACCACTGAATCCATGTCCCAACCCCCACAGCCTCTTGCCTCCACCATCACCCCAACCACCTTCTGAGACTCGAGAAACCAAAACTCCACTAGTCATCACCACTATCTTCAAAAAATCACCACTATCACCTCCATCCCGCCATGCAATAGCTACCACCAAGGAGGCAACCTAAACTCCCGAGTTTGAGTCTCGAAACTAGGTAGGAAAAATCCCCCTATTGCCTGTTAAGGAAGATGTTGACTTCATAAAATGGATAATATCTTTGTAAAGTCAACGGTAGAATTTTACCTTCCGTTTTCAAAAGGGTTTTTCCTCTTTTTTGGAATTTTTGAGTGTGCTTTAAAGTCAATTTTTGTTTTAGATATAGATATTTTGATGTTTTTTCATATGAATTGTGTTTTTCTATCAGAGATCCTCTTTCGATTTCCGAAAGGTCTGACCTCAAATATTTTTTCAATTCGAAGTGTTTTTTAGGAAATATAATATTTCAATCTTTAAGAATTCTAGAGTTAAAGTTAGATCATTTGTCATTGTGCAAATATGTAATTGATGAGCGCATTAGTCATTTTCATGAGTTAACAATTGTCGTTAGTGTGTTAAAAGTCATGATTAAGTCTCATTTTCAAAATTTATGAAGTTTTGTATTTTTTTAACTCTTGTCCAAAATTTCAATGTTGCGCTTTTAATCTGAGGTTGTGTGATGCTTCCAATCACGTTTCTTGTAGTATTAATGTTCCACGTTCCTTTGCTCGAGGGCCTCGACGATTGAGACAATATTTTGGTCTAAACAATCGTGATAATCGAGGCATAAACATCTGTCTCATGAACCCTTTTGGTGGCTGACGTAAAATCCAAGAAAACCTTAATTATTTTAGGAACAATGCTACTGTTACAGAAAAAAAAATTCTGTAAAAATAACAGAAAACACACATTAGGGGTGTGCCCCATTTTTATAATAATATTTTATTAACATGGGACCCACCCCCCATGTGAGTATTATGACATTTTTACAGATGAAATAGTTATGCACAAGTGGTTTAATTGTTATTTTAG